CTGCCTTGAGGTAGGTAGGGCCCAATTCACTCCCTGCCTCTAAACCTTCTGTAACCTTTTCTTTTCTTTTCTTCTTCTTCTTCTTCTTCTTTTTTTTTTTTTTCGCCTGGATTTTTCTGGACGTCGGTCCGACCGGACATCATGCTCTGTCTGGGTCCGGGTCCGGGGTAACCATGGTTAGGCTTTGTCTTCGACCTTCTCTGATGAGTTTTTGCAATCCTTCTGAAACAGCTGGTCACAGTCATGATTATCTCCCCTGGATGTTGGCCTGTTATGAAGCTGGAACAAACCGCCCATGTTTTATGATTGGAAAGGAAGTGTGAATGTGTACAAGTCTGCAGTTTTGTTGTTTGTTATGCTTCTGACAATTGCCTTGACAATGCCTGATGTTGATTGTCACAGGTGTGCTAGGTTGTTTTGAGAATGGGAGGAGGAATATAGACTGCTTGACTTGGGGAATGAGTCGGAGAAGATGGAGTTCTACAGCAAGTGCCCTGGAAAGGCCCCCTGACCAGCTGCCATTGGTTGGATTGATTTATTTTCTAATGGGGTGTACTTCACGCTCTCGGTTGATGGATCGGGGCGCTAGTTGTTTCATATGCGGCAGTTCTAATGACAGTAGAGGTGGCTGAAACATGGCAATGGTATCCATGCTATGGATGCTTAAACCTTCTGAGAAACACACCCACACCCACACACCCACACAGACAGACACACACAGACAGACACACACACACACACACACACACACACACACCTGTCTCTTATACACATCTAGATGTGTATAATCCCTCCCTTCCCCCCCTTTCCCACACGAAACGATGCCTTTCTGCCCGTCGCCTCACCGGTAGTCGATTCATCCCATGGCACTTCCCGCTCCGGCCCGCCCGTCGCGTAGCTTCAGCCCCGATTTCCCGACATTCGGACAAATCCCGCTCCACGCGAGCAGAAGACGACCCGGTTCGTCCGACGCCGGACCGGGTCCTCTTCTGCACGCGCACACTGGGTATTTTTCCGCCCCTCGCCCCGGGTCCCACTGGTTCCCCCTTACCCGCTGCCCATCACCGGTCCCGGGCGGCGACGCCCAGTTTCTGTTGGACCCCACGCGAGGACCGCTGTTTCCTTTAGTAGTATAGGGACAAGTATAGGGATAGTATAGGGATGATGGCTCCATGCCCCCTCTGCAAGGACGATACACACAAATCGAGCTCTGGAAATCCCTAGAGATTGAGAGATTGATAGGCTGTGATGGCTGAATGGGCGCTGCAGAAGGCATACATGCACAGATCGAACTTCGACAATGTCTATTAGAGTGGTTGGTAGGTTGATAGGTTGATAGGTTGATAGGTTGATAGATTCGTAGATCGATAGAATGTGATGGGCCCAACAATTGAATTTCGAGTCTGTCAACGATGTCTATAGATTGGTAGATTGATAGATTGAGAGATTGATAGATTTGATAGGTTGATAATAGATTTGATGGATAATTGGTAGATTGATAGATTGATAGATTTGATAGATTGCTAGATTGATCGATTGATAGATGCGATGGTTTTCATGGCCCCTGCAGAAGGATGACATGCACAGATCAGGCTTTGGCAAGGGCTATCAATTATGAATGCTCGGTGACCCCTCTGCGAAGATGACACACACAGAGTGAGCTTTGGTAAGGGCTATAGATTGTGACGACTTCTTTCTTATCAGTGACGCATCTCCCCAGGGCATCATTCTCACACTAGCGCTTATTTTTGTGACTGAAGCTGGCCGTTGTTGTTCCTAGAAACATGGAAGAAAATCCTACCTAACAGTCTTCCGCATGCTGTGAGCCTACCAAACATTGTGATTCAGCAAAGGTTCGACAACACACAGCAACCCGATAAATGTCATGAAGAGGATTGGAAAGTCTAGGTTCCCCACATTGGTTTTCCTCAAAAACTTCCAGTAGCGGTCAGCACTTACTGAACAATTTTTTGCCAGTTATGGTGTGAGGTGGCCCAAGAGATGGATGTGTGAGGACTCAATGTAGGACTTTCCTGGATCTATCTGACGGGCATCGCTGACCCAGAATGGGTATCTAATAATTTGAAGAAACTTTTCGAGTTCTTCTGTTCCGAACGTCTGGTCTGGTATCCCGCCTACACCTTGCGATCATGAACTCCCCATTCAATGCGTCTAGGAGACTCGCTAGGAGATCTTCCAATGGAGCTTGTTGACGGAATGAGTAGCAGTACACCCGCGAGATTGCTTGGAAACTTGTGTCCATATAGGACTTACCTGGATGCATCAGACCGTAATTCCGTCCATCCTGGGTATTTGATTGAGTCTGCTAGTGATCGAAAAGTAGAAGTACATTTGGGAGATTAGCGTCTGTAAGGGACTCTCTTGGATGTACCGGACTGCAATTACAGCCCTTTCTGGGGTATCTGATCGAGCCTGCCAGTGATCCAACAGTAGTAGTATATCAGCAAGATTGCTCTGGAACTAGTGCCCAGATTGGACTTCCTGGATGTATTGGTCTGCAATTACATCCCATTATGGGTATCTGATTGAGCGTGCTACCGTCTCCACCCGAATAGATCGCCCTGCCATTATTGCGGCATCTGGACTGAAAGTTGTGCCAAATACAGCTATAATGACCGGACGTTCTCTTGGGATGAAGATGGTAGTAATACAAAGTAGTAGAGTGCTAAGTAGCTGTATACCAGTGCGCTGAAACTAATACCCAGACGGCAGGGTACGGTTGGTGGTGTATATGGTGTGCCACACACCACTATGTCCGAAGGAGAAACTCAGATGAGACACTCTGGATAGTCTTAGTACAGAATTGAACTCAGATTAAACCACCAGTACTTCCGAGGCACACTTTTCTCTGGGGCTGCACACCCAAAAAAAAAGAACCAGCACGCGCCTCCTTTTGTCTGGCGCCGCCAGCCATTTTGCTCTGGAGGCCGAGCCCCGAAAGTTGCGGCAGCATGCAAGCCACAACTTTGAAAGAATAGCTGGGAAATGTACTGGTAGTTTAAACTTTAAACAATGTAGTTGAGGATTACATATCACACTATCACCACATTGCTCAGGCATGGATTGCTCAATACTACAGACCTTCTCCCTCGTAGTGCTCAGTCTGAGTGAGAGCCTACGGTGCTGTTTCTTAAATACTGGAGTGGATCGTCCAGTGCTAAGTTGATGAAATAAGGAACCCGTGTTCTGCACCAGCGAACCAGTGCCTGCACGGATTTTACTGCCCGATCTATGTTCTTCGGACCTGTGTAAACCAGTCCCTGCACAAATTTCCCGCCTGATCTATGTACTTCAAATGATTGAAACATTTAGGCAAAATAACAATGAGATCTGCAAATGTTTCCCTGCAGGCATGCCAAAGGGAGTCCATGGCTTCCAAGATCACTGTGTGCAATCTAAGCTGTAGTCTTTCACAACGGGGAAAAACAAACATCTTCTGCTGCTGCATGCAGCCACTGTGCAATTGTGATGATGATGATCATCGCCAGGCATTATCACGATTGTTGCTTGCCATTAGCATCATCATCGAATCAGCATCCACACACACACACACACACACACACACACACACACACACACACACACACACACACGCACACACACACACACACACACACACACACA